TCTTTTCTGTAGAATTAGTTAACTTAAACTGTTTAACTTTATAACTTTTATTTGATGTCAGTTGATCCTTGTACTGGCTTTATCGTGTGAGTGGTATTTGTATATCTGGTAAGTTATATTTAAGAGAGCCATATGATGTACTGAGATAAAAAGCTATAATTTCTGCAAGGAAGATATTTTCCTGTTGTAAAAGATGTTTCAATCACTGTCATAAAAACTGCTGTTCTGGAGATGCGTTGCACTCATAATCAATGTGCAAATGCTATTGTTTTACCGCATTCATGAGTACACCCCGACTTTTCATTTCCAACTGAAAGTCGATCAGTAAACTAAAAAAGTAACATAATCATACAAAATACTCTCGCGCGCATTTGATCATTTTGACCGAACAAGCTTGGTCAATAAAGGATTTATTATAAAGCAAAAAGATGTCGCTTTCATAAGAATCAAGAATGATTTGTCTACTACGAGACCCAGGAAAGAAAGCCAACTGTTTTTGAAGCACAATAAACCCACCACCCACCAGGGTCGTTTACCTCAGTTTTCTTTGTTTGACTGTCTTCGACTGTTTTTTGCCACTTCATCGCCGACATTGAATAAAAGTAACGAACTTTGTAAGTTCACTCCGCGCACTTTTTTCTTGCGCGTTCAAAGTGGGCAATCCCAAGCGGGCAAGATGGGCCTATCTTGTCCACGCGAGTAGCCAATCAGAGCACAGGAAACGTTTCATATTGCCTACGGGCGCTGCCAGCCATATAATGAATATGTGTTATTAACCAAGCGTGAGGTCAAGATGGCTGGATGTTGGCCAAGTTCTTTTTCTGCATTTTTATGGACCGAGACGAATTCGAGGTTCACAAAAATGCGAAAAAAGAACGAGGCTAATATTCAGCAATCGTGACTGAACAACCTCGGTTAATAAAGGATTTATTATATCGCAAAAATATTTTGCTTTAATAAGAGTTGTTTACTTCGAGAGCCTGAAAAGAAAGCAAACTGTGTTTGTAGCACAACAAACTCACGAGAGTCGTTTCGTTTTGTTGTTTTGACTATCTTCTGCCACTTTTTGCGTTTCTATCGCCGAAATTGTCCAAGAATTGCGAGCGTAGCTCTAATTCAATTTTTTCATGCGAGGGATCAATGTGGGCATTCCCGAGCGGGCGAGATGGGCCCATCTTGCCTGCTCGGGTAGCCAATCAGAATACAGTATTCGCTTCCTCTTGCCCACGGGCGTTGCGAGCGATGTAACAAAGTGAATTGATAAATGACAAGTTTAGATCTAAAGGGAATCCATAGTTTATGCGAGTCGGGCCCTTACAGCTCCACAAGTAATGCTTGTTCTTAAAGTTTTTAATTTTTATTAGCCTATTTCAAGGCTTTTTCTCGCTAGAAAAGGATGGAGCGGTAGAGTAGAATTCGACGATTCCGCGCTCGGAGATCCCGTGTTAATTATTCATGAAATGTTTCTCCCCGCATCCGGGCGCTCATAATGTTTTCCATAATTGTTTTTTGTGTTTTTTATTCCTATTTTTATGATTTTTTTTCATCGAAGGAACCCTTTACCAAATAGATAAAAGGTGTACGAACATTTCCAAAGAAACTGGTTTTGCGTCGGTGAAGAGGGGGTGGGGAGGGGGGGGATTATCAGCTCAGTTTTTACGCGAATTGGCCGCCGAAAAGCTGAAGTTTCGAATGTTAGCCCTTCGTCAGAGCACAGCCTCTGAGCAATTGTGTTTTAAAGGAGACGAGAAAAAACAATCGGGAAATTATATGGAACAAAGTTATGAAGGGTAGATTTCCCTTGGACTGTGATGTCTAAAAAAGTCTTTCCACTTTTGAACTTCTCATTTCGATGTTATGAAAGCCTGAGGGCTATCAAAAAGCATAAACTTCGACAATCTGTTATTTATTACCTAAAGTTTCCCCTTCGATATACAGTAAGGAGTTGAACAAGCACCCTCGGCGTCAAAGATATAGTAAAAAAAAGCAAGTTGTGTTGTTTTCTCGAGAACGGGTGTCCAGCGAGCAAAGCGAATAAGTGGAGAAACAGTGGAAAAAAATCACGATTCATAGAACAATATGCCGTATTTAAGGATCAAATCGACAAAGAGAGAAAGCGGTTGGGGACCTCTCTGTTCGCTGTCCTTCTGAAATGTCAAAAGTTTAACATGTAAACTAGAGTCTGATATGTTTTTATCTTCACGTGAAGGATCAGGTGGGAAAATTTCCGAGTATCGTCGTCCTTTTGACTCGATAATTTAACGGAATTTTTGACTTAAGTGAAGCAAAACAAATACATAGCTGGACCAAATAGGTCCCAATTCTTAATAAAAAAAAAACAAGAACCAAACAAAACGTCCTTACTTGTGAGAGTACTCTCAATCTTTTTGGACACAAGTGGACCGTGCTTCAATAAAGTCTGTCGAGCATTTGCTTCTTGTTCCACAAAGAAAGAATGAAATAAACTATTGGCTTTTTAAAGCTGAGAATGTGATGGAAACTTCCTTCCAAAAATTATCACATTAATATGAGTAACTCTCAAAATTCTCGTAGTAGATAGTACATAGTTGGGTAGTACATATTTCTCTTTCTTTCAGAAATTCAGCAGACCTTTTAACAATTTATTATATTTAGAGGCCACCAAGACAGATGACAACAAAGAAATAAACAGACAGCCAAAGTCAAACTATGCTATATTATTACTTGAAATCGGCATGCAGCAACCCTTCTTTTTTATAGTGAGACTGTTATTTTTTTGTATATAATAGAGCTTTCTAGCTCATTCTTCGGTATGCAAACGAGTTGGAAATAAAGCAAAACAGTCGGAGACAAGGCAGGAGTCATAATTGAACAAGAAAAAAAAAGTTAGTTTACTTGAAAGCAGCTTTCAAAGATTAGGGAGAGCCACTTTTACAATAGAAATTAAACACAAAATTCGTCATATTGTTGGAAGAAGTCATTCATGAATTAGTGCCTAATCACATTTGTTGACAGATAGATCCGTTCGTATATTCATTCTTAAACGGTTTTTCTCTATTATGCAATCCGCCTTCAATTTTCACATTAAATGAAAGAAGAAATTTACTTAGTTTCGGTTGTTAAAATCTTATAACCCTAATTTTTTCTTGTGATTGCTATGATTTCGTATCGAAAAACAAAAATTAAAACTGCTTAAGTCATACTCGGTCCCGTGTTCCTACCCCTTTTATAAATCATATTTAAGGCCTTTCTGATTTCTAACAATTGTTTCATGTGACAGCGGGTTTTCATTGAAAATCGTGCATCTCAGAAATCTTGGACGTATCTGGATCAGAAATGTCTCGGCTTTCGTGTTCGCTTTTCTGTGTTTCAAAGCATTTGCACGCATCATCAGCGTACATACTGGAATTTGATCACACGAATTTACCAGCTATGTTGTTATAGACGTTTTGTTCATTTTAAGTCCATGGAATGCCTCGAGGGTGTTTGTCATTTTAGGATGCTAAATGGTATTTCTAATTGGAAATGAAGGGATGATATATGCCACTATTCAAAAAACAGTCACTGATTTTTTTGAGTGTTTCACACCAGAGTGCTGAACGTATATGTATTTTTTTGGTTCCTACACACGACTTCCGCTTGTCTTCACTCAAGAAAACTACGAGTTATAAAAACGAGATAGAAGCTCTCTTTGGGTTTAATGATTCATAACTTCAGCTGGAAAATTTTCAGCTTAGTGGGAGATATGCGGGAATACTTTTGAAATAAATCGCCTAGAATTGAAGTGGACACGTGAAGCCCATTTAACATCTTCTTTTCATTGTTTAAAGAACAGTGTTTCTGCTGAGACATGGAAACCAATCTATCTAAAAAGTTCAAAAGAAATAAACTATCTGATAATTTTAAAGGAAAAAAAATAGCTTACAGAACGAAACTGAGGTTTGAATTAATCCTCGTTCGTTAAAATCAACGGCTTCCCTTTAAACTAACCAGATCAAATATTCGAAATGTTCGAACGCTCTAAGAGTTAAATTGTCATATGTCCTTTTTGATGGCCGAAAGAAGCATTTTGTGGCTTTTTAAATAAATGTCTCATACAGTAGAAATACTTAAATTGAACTTCCACTTAAAAAATCCGGTGCTCCTTCCTCGAACACCCATCAGGTGTTAAGAGCTGTCTTAGCCAGCAATTTTCTGAATATATTGCATCTTTTAATGCCCCTTTCCGTGAGTTTCTTTGTCTAATATAGTTCGTGATCACGATCGCTGGTTTTAACTTTGCTCAGCAACAGTGCACCTTTACGTGCTACCTTGTTGGAAGTATTGCGATGGAACAGTACATATGCACAAGAAGCAATGATTAAGAAAGAAACTGCAAAATTTAACGAACGGAAAACAATATCGTGAACAAAAAAGGGAATTTTGCTGGCCTTAAATTACTCTCCTTTATTACCATCTGCTTTATCTGAGACATTACCAGTCAGACCGACAAATATTTCAAAGTTTGACACCGCCTTTAATCAGTATTTTGTTTCATTTCGTATTGCAAATTTGACCGCCAAAAAATAAATAAGAGGAGGAACCGACTGTCACCCATTTCATTAGTCTCTTTATTTTAAGTGCTTTAAGCTTATTCCATTATCCTTTCTTATCCTATGAATGATTCAGGATTGCAAATCTTCTCCCTAGCGTTAAATAATAAAAGCTTTTTCTATCACCAGTGGTATTAGCATCGTATTTTATTACTTGCATACTTCTTCGGACAATGATATCTGTCATTTTTTGAACAATTCGAAACACTTCCTCAGTGACAAGCAGAGATCGTGAGTCGTCAAAAACTATTGCGAAACCCCTATATACCTTCTCTAAAGTCTACTCAATGAGAATTTAATTAGTTTTAATCAAACTCGAGGGCAGGAGGTCGTTCTTAATGATAATACCGTACAAACCGGCTTAAAAGTTATTAATTATCAACTGAGGAATATTGAAAGCAAATTTGTTTCCATGTTTAACATCTGTTCTCTGCTTGCTAGTAGGAAGGGAGCACGAAGACAGCGCTGAATTCTGCTCAACATCCGCCATTGCCATTTGCCGATTTTGGAACTGGACAATCCATGTCTTTCAACAATTCTATCGATGTCCCAAAGGGCAACTTCAATCAAACAAACAATTTTGGTCAACCTTCTGTCGAGCCGAGCTGGTTGGTTGTAATTCGACTTGCTGTTGAAGCAGTTATCGCCTTAGCGGGTGTCATTGGAAACTTCGCTGTGTGCTTCGCAATATCAAGGCATCGGATACTGAGTACAGTTCCTACCAATACGTACATCAGAAATGCAGCCATTGGCGACTTGGCGACTCTCCTTGTGTCTTTTCCTTTCGGAACAGTTAGGGAACAATTCACCTACTGGCCACTTTGCGAATTTACATGTCGCTATATTTTTCCGATGGGCGATATCTTTTTCGGAGTGTCCATTTGGTCAATTACCGCCATTGCCGTTGAAAGACATCGGATACTGAGCGCACGTTTCCCTCAACTAGCTTTCAGGTCAATGGCAAAACCAAGAATTGTTTGTGCTGTCATCTGGATCTTTTCATTCCTCGGGATTTCGTTGCCTCTGTTACTTGTATATGAGTACTATCACCTACCAAACGGGAAGACCATGTGTGTACCAATGTGGCCGCATGAGGGGCTTCCCTACATCTATGGCATCGCACTGTCCTTGTTAAGCTACGTTATACCTCTATCCTTGATCCTTATGAGTTACTGTGCCATCAAGCGTCAGCTGCGCAAGAGCGAATCGTTCCACATGGAAATTGCAGAAACTAGTTTCACAAGAGGCATCAGAACCAGCCAAGTAAGCCTAGTGAAAACACGCACTAGGAGAGTCAGTAAGATCATGACACCAGTGGTTGCAGTTTTCGCGATCACTGTCCTTCCACTGAGCATTTTCCGAGTGATTCCAAACGATTACCACTACAATAATCAAAAATATTCTTTCATATTTTTTAGGGTTTCCATATTTTTTTATCTTTTCAATACTGCGTGCAATCCTTTTATCTACTCCCTTGTCAGCGGAAGATTTCGTCGATCATTTAAGGAAATCTTTTCTTAAATCTATTACTCATATTTAGCGGTAAGTCAACTTTAGGATTAGGAGGAAGAGGAAAATATTTGTAGATAAGGCTGTACCACCTGAAAATATCGTAACTCAACCTACAGACACTAACAGATTGCATAATCGATTTTCTACTATCCTAAGATTAACAGTAACTTTAGTCTTCGTGTTTCTTAAGTTTATTCAGAGTCGTATATCTGCGTTTAATAGGTATAATAACATACTGAAACATAGGACGCATCGTCTGATTGGCCAATTCAATTTTCAAGCGGATGCTTATCAAGTTATAGAGCCCGTATTTGACTAGTTATGCCATAAAATCAATTAAAAGCATTTTTTTCGGGTTCTATATTGTGATAAAGCCACTTAGGATGTTGGAAGAACGCTCGGAAAGCTTATAGATCACTCGCCTGCTGCTCCTAGTTTATAAGCTCTAAGATTGTAAGATTTATGAGCTCATTCGTGTTCTCCAAACATCCTGCATGTCTTTGTCACGTTATAGAGCTCGAAATATTCTGGTCTATTGCTTAAATAGAGGACAAAGTTGCGTTTAGGAGAACTGTATGAGTAGGCTGTCTGAAAAAGAAATCGATGAAGGTAAATCCAGCTCATCTAGTCTAGTTTGATCCAAATCAATTCTGCTGTTGTTTTAGTTGTTCCTACAATCAAACCTGTATAAAGCAGCCCGTAACAAGCGGTCAGTTATAAACTCCCGAGTTTGTGTTCTGTTTGTTATCTCTAGCGGTCACCTCTCTTAAACGGTCGTGGTCGCCTTAGACTGAGTCCTAACGGCCTTTCTGTTTTGTCCTGTCATAAAAGAGGAACCTCTCAAACAAGACTTAAAATAGTTTTTAGAGTAAAATTCAATCCATGTTTGTCTCCTGAAATAAAAAAAGTTAATAGCCTTTGTTATCGAGTTTTTAAAACTTTCAGTGTGCTCGATTATGAGATAAAATGTTGCCATTCCCAATACAGGTTCTATTGTATTATTGTTTGGTCGGCATCAATGAGCCTGCTAATGGATAGCTAGAAGGTTTCTTGCAAATGCAAGATTTGGTGTTTTTGTTTCAATAACATATATCGTTTATGTTGTGCTGGTTAAAGATTTCTAATCTTTTTATAAATTTTTTAATTATTCATTTCAATCGATTCCGTCTGGAAATGTTTTTGGATCTTTTTTGTTGTTTTTGTTGTTTTATTTAACTCTATCTTAAATTTATCTATTTACTTTTGCTACTTTTCCATTAAGCTAAAATTCAAGGAGTTACAGTGCATACGTAATCTAGCTGGTTTGCTTGAGATCATGTAAACCTCCAAAGGTGAAAAACAAAAACAAAAATATTAATTTAAGCGATATAGAGTCACCACGTGGTATCAAGTCCTTCTCTGAATACGAAAGATGAGTTTTGCAAAAATTGATCCACCACTGTTCATATTTCCCCTTTTTTCCCAAGTAAAGAGATTCTTGATTGATTTAAACAATGACTTGGAGAAATCACAAGTAACTTCTCAAGCACACGTACTGAAGCATTTAGGAGGATTATTTTATTTACAACACATTGAAAGAACCACGGTGAAAATGCTATGAATCAATTGGTTAATGAAGATGACGGACAAAGTTAAGGACTTGAGAGGTTTGAAAAATATTTTATATGCTATAGCTGCTTTCAGCTTTTTCTAGAGCATCTCCTTAGCATCATTCCAGCTTCTCAAACTATTTGCCTGCTTCATCTCTCGATGAATGGAAGCTGATGCATGAACCTTTAATTTAAACACCTTTCTTTTTCGTATTTAGAGGTTTCAAACGGATATTGAATATGTTCTCATTTGGATCCGTTTCCTTTGCTGTATTCACAGAAGAATTGGACTTACTGGCGACAGAGTTCTTGACAAATACCATTTGATGATGAAGGCTCTACATTTTAGAAAATTGGCTTTGTCATTCTTAAGTAATTCACTGAAATTGTCCGGAAGCAAATACTTAAATTACTCTGCTTCTGGAAAAGGTTTCTCCTCTCAGGGAATCTTTTTTTATTAAAGAGGAACTCATTCCCTGTAAATCGTATCATTTGGTCCTCCATTTAATTTTGTCTAAGAAATTCCCTTTTATTTTGCATCATCTCCCTCCGAATATTGATTTGCATAGTCAGTGGCGCGCGTAGCAAAGATTTAGAATTCATTATCGTAATAGCGAATTCGCCTCGACTACGCGGGGCGGGAAAATTAAGTCATGTGACATATTTTAAAAGGAACAATTTATGATGTAACAACATTTGAGGCTGGTTATCAAGGGTCATAAACGTGAGCATCAAGATAAAGCATCGAGATGTCGAATCAAGGGATCCAACTACTCAGAAATACAAATTGTAAGTTAAGAAACCGTTTCTCGCTTCAACTAAGAATATTGTAAATAATAATTTATCTCGAAATTATTTAATTTTCAGTTGTCTACAAGGTATCCACGGATGTAACGAGCCGTGTTCACTCTAGTACAAATAAAGTCTGACAACTTTGATCCCAGGTGGGCTAATCTTCAAAATAAGTAGCACCTTCAACCATAGGAGCGAATCAAATATCAACGAATCATGTATTGATGACAAGGATGCCAAAGCTTCTGATTGGTTCTTTATAACTGAACATGCGGAAGCAAGTTATCTTTGACTCTCTTATAGGCTTCTTGTGTTTAAAGTCCGTGTACGTGGAGGGGAGACCTGAAGCAGTCAATTAACAGTTGTATTTCAATATCTCTCCAGAATATACGTGGAAGACGCAACTGCAATCCATGCAAAACCTCCACCAGTTCTAAATGGGCACAAAACCGAACCAATGAAACCTTCTGGTTTCTGGCCTTAATTAAATTGGCACTCACAATAATGTTCGGTGTAATCAACGCCGCGAAGAGGACATCGGCCACAGCAAGGTTGATCATTTATGAGTGTTCTGTGGTATTAAAAAATAAACACTAATTCAAGTATCATAAATTATCCCTTAACAACTGATCAGTTTATAAATCCATTCCTTTTAGAAGAGTATATCTTCGTTCCTCTCTGCTTTTCGTATGGAGGGTGGATCATTTTCAATGGCAAACAGATCCTGTGGCGACTGCGCAGAGGAAATTCGGGTTTTTACCACATTCAGCAGTAATAACGCAATCTGATCGGTCAATTTGATTTATCCGAGCGTAAACAAGTTTGTTCAGTATCTGGTGTGCTCTCTAGTCCTGCGTCCTTATACAGAGGAGTTCCACAGGGCTCAATTTTAGGCCCCCTCCTCTTTTCTGTTTATATGAACGAACTACCTCTTTTGCTAAATGAAAGTGAAGTGGACATCTATGCTGACGACACAAATATTTGGTTAAGTGGTGCCGATCGTAATGAGATACTGCAAACTCTAAACGTGAGTCTAAGTATAGCGAATAGCTGGCTTAAACTTAATGAAATACAACCTAATAGTAAAACGACTAAGTACTTACTTATTGGTACTGCTAAAAAACTTTATCACAGTGAAAGAACTACGTAGGAGCTTTTCTTGGGCAACGTAAGACTTGAGGAATCAGCTGTAGAAAAACTTCTCGGTGTTGCGATTGATCCCTATCTTTCTTGGGACCTGCACATTGATTATCTTATAAAAAAGTTGAACTCTAGGATATTTCTCCTCAAGAGGGCAAAAGTGTATTTAACTATTGAATGTAGAAAAATGTTATATAATGCTTTCATTAAGCCAATTCTTGAGTACTGTTGTACTGTTTGGGGTAATTGCTCGTTTGAAAACCTTCAAAGGTTGTTACAAGTACAAAAACGATCCGGGAGATTAATTTTGGACACCACCATCAATGATAGTTCCGTTGAACTTTTTAATAAATTAGGCTGGTTACCTATTGATGACATTGTACGCGTTAGAAAACTTTGTATGCTACACAAAGTTAGCCAAGGTCATTGTCCTGAACATTTTAGTGCATATTTTAAATTAAATATGTCAGATCTACACGTGGTTATTGTACTAGATCTGCTATCTGTAATGACGTTCTAACACCATCTTGTAAAAGAAACTCAGAGCTTAGAACTTTCCACTCAAGTGCATGTTACCCTGCTGGCAGAGGCGTTTATTTCTTAACTTCCCCTACGGTCCACGTAAAAATAAAGTCCTCTGCGCTCGGCCTGTCAAATCTTCTTCGAGCATGCGCCTGGGAATTATCCAAGTTTGTGGATAATATGATTTGCAAAACCGGTCAGAACCTGTTTTAAACACGTTTTTATGCGCACGCATCCTATTTAGCTATATAGCAAGACCAAGTGTNGTATTTGTTCCTGGCCAAGTTAAAAGATTGGCCTCGACCTCTTGCGTGACAGTCGTTCAACGGATCGCATTACATAGACCACTTTCATAAATGGCTGCCGGATTAATATTATTTTGTTTAAATTTAAGTTAGCCTTTCTGGCCTCGTTCTCCAGTACAAAATTCAAAAGAATTCATTATCTCAAGCGAGGCTAGAAAGGCTAATTTAAATTTAAACAAAAGAATATTAATCCGGCAGCCATTTTTGAAAGTGGTCAATTAGTTGTCATTTTTAGCCCAAACTCCTTTAAAGCTGGACGCGCCGCCTATGGCGGGCCAAGAAAGAAGCTTAGAGGACTTAGACTACAAGGATAAAGCTTTAAGATGATATATATTTTGGTCTGTAAATATATCATACAAGACCTTTTAATGGCCTTTGAATGGGTCGTGACAGTTGTTCAGCGGTTCGCATTGCATTTTTGACAAAATAGCCCAAACTCAGTTGTAAACCTGGACGAGCCGCTTTTGGTGGGTCAGGATAGAGAATTGGAGGAATTAAAATACAAGGATAAAGCTTTAAGTTGATGTACATTACTATTTGTAAGTATATATGGTAGACCTGTCCATAGGCCACCGAAGTTGACCTTTATTTTACCTCTGCGAAAGAGACGCGAAGTACTTTATTTCAACGGGTCACTATTCAGACTTAAACCGAACAAAATAACAAGAAATTAATATTTTCCAAGAGGTTAACAAGCCATCTGCGAGCATAAAAAATTTATAAGTGGGATTGCATCGCGTTGTAGCGTACGAAGCTGCCGAAGATAATTTTCGAAAAGATTAATTAAAAGGGTCCTTAAGAAAAAATAAAACGAATTACGAAATTTTGCAACTGTCCGTGGATTCTCGATATCTATGGTCAATGGCTCTTAAATAATGTATTGAAAGGATTTTTGAAAAGCTGTAATCGACTTGGTTTTAAATGCTATTTCTTTCACCGTATTTAGTTTTTCTTTTATGAGTACGAGAAAACTGTCGAAAGAGAGCTTTTCGTCGCTTTGGCAGCTGCAGTATATAGAAAATATTGCACTTAGAAGCACATAGTTCAAAGAGTATCTATTTTCCGTTTTGTCGAAAACACCGTATAAAATCATACTATTTGATAATGTTAGTTTTAAAAGGTCTCCAAAAGGGTTATAACGGAGTAGTAGCATACGAACAAAGCATCAAGGGAATGTGTATATATCAGCCAAGCGTTGAGGACATGCATCGCTGTCAGAAATTTCGGCCCTAAAAAGAGACATTTCATCTGCGAGAATGTTGTGTATAGTCTTGTATTGAAACAATGTTATTTTGATATCCCACCTTAGCTTATATTTAGGATTAAGATCAATAGTTGCACTAGCTCTTAACTTGCATTTCTCTTTTAATAGAAAGCTTTATCAATGCTTATTATTACACTTTGTAGATTATGTTATTAAATGGTTGGTCTGCTGTTCTTATAACTCTCTGCGATAATGGCCTGCAGTTATCTATCAATTCTATATTTTCATTTATTATATGGCTGTGTCTCACAATTCA